TTTTTTTTTTTCTAAAATCAAAAAGTGTATGTGTGAAAAAGTGGGTTTCGGGGACTGCTTGCCCGTTGCAAGCAAAATTAACAGTTGTCTGAATTCCTCGGTGGCTTCTTCGCAAATTACTTCACGTTTTTGTATGTTCGTGCGTTTTTATGTATGTGCAGCTGTTTAAAAAATGAGCAAAATGTAAGGGAAGCGCATCGTGATGCTGATGATCGATAACTATAAGTGGAAATGAAAATTGAAGGTCTAAAGCATTCTGACTGTGTGCATTATAAAGATACAGGTAAATTACAGGGAATGCAGGTTGTATGCTCTCACAGGTAATTTCTTCTCACAACCTGTTGGTATGGAATTATTAACACAGCTGGATTACAGTGCCAGTCAGGTAAGCTCTTATATTATCAGTTACATTTTAGGAGTGTTTTTAATATAGCCACAAGTATGAAAAAATATGGTCGAACAAACAGCAACAAGACCTGCACTACCTTTTTTCGTATTCTACATTTTTCAGTCATAATATTTTCTATTTTAAAATCAAAAAACATTGGTACTCATACGTTATTTACAGCATCCGTTGGCACTTTTTGCGCGGCGTATGACTCGGTTTTGTGTCACTGTTGGAGCAGCTGAGACGATGACACTGATCAAAGATAGGCTGGATTTTAAATTTACGTGTGTGCGACGTGCCCCTAATATGGTATTTTTTCCAAATTTTCATGTCGACTTTACAAAAATTGTATCTTTCTGTGCTGCTTGTTATTTACGTCGTGATTTTGCACTGAAAAATGCTATTCTTACTGTTTTCTAGATGTCAATCAGTGGTCCTGGAAATCAAATGGTTTACGTAATAACAATCTATGAAATGATGGGAAACGAGGGCAGAAAGGTAAGCATTCTCAAGTAGTGGTTAAACAGCTTGTACATTTTTGCTACCATCGTCTCAGGTTTTAATTTCACCAGAAAAAAATTTTTCTCATTAGAACACTTCAGCGTAGTTCTATTAGTTCGCTCAGATCCTGCCTGCTGAGCTATCAATCTGTATGAGCTCCAAATCTCAGTATCTTGATAAGCGTAATAGTGTGATTTTTTATTTATTCCCAGTTGATGGCTACCTAGAACCGCATCCTCATGCCGCGAAATTGCTGGATCACTGTTATTTCTCCAGCACAGTGAGAAGTCGACTCAAGTTTAAGATGAAAGGCTTATTATGCGAGTAATTTTATAAAGTTTTCTTTTAGGTTATGGTTGACTGCCGTCGTTCTCGTGGTGATGGAATTGAATTTAAAAGAGCATTTCTGGATTTGAGGAAGAAACTAAGTGATATTTGCTGCGTAATGGGGAACCAGTGGCTAGAAAAGCAGGGCCTCGTACCTGCTCGTTGATCAGGTAATTATTCGTTCGCCTTTTAACAAATTAAAAATGCAGTCCACGCAAATATCAGCACCCAAGGTTGTCAGACTGTCGTTGTGCAGCTCTTGATAATTCCGAGATATAATTTCGTTAAGTACAGATGCGCCAGTGCCTTTTTTGCAGACAACCTGTCGCTACAACTCTTCGGGTATTTTCTATGTGGGTTTTTGCTTTTTTTGCAGGTATCAAGCAAACAAAAGCACTCACAGATATGTCATGCTTACGGTTTATCAAAAAAAGGAAAAATCGAGAGTAGGAAGGAAGGATGGGCTTATTTTTAAAAATAATAAAAGTGGAAAAGGTGCCCCTGCAGATTACAGTATCTCTTTTTTTTTCTGCTTATCATGATTGTGATATAATTATGCTTCCTGCTCATATTGCCTTTAATTCATACCGACACAAGCAAATGTTTTGCAAATTTCCACTTTATCATCCTCTTGGACACTTCTTCTGTTCATATTCATCAGCTTTCGTTAGTGATCAAGTTTTGCACCCGAATGTCATTTCAGCACGATGGAATGGTGCGGTTCGATCCGGATTTTGAACATCGATGATACGATTTCGGCTTGTCTATCAGTTCTCCAGCCCGCGAATTCTGACTTAAAATTATGACGCTAATTTATTTTTTGATCCAGTTAATCATTTTCAGCTCTGCTATATTCGACTTGCAAATTTTGAGCAGCCTGCCAACAACCTGGACCAGCTTTTATGCGGTTTTAATGTGCAGCGTCATAGCGCTGATACAGCGAGCAAAAACGTTGAGAGGTCGTCCGTGTGTATGTGTGTGCGTGTGTTCGGAAGCGAGTGAGCTTATTCACCTACTTCCAACTCAGCAACCAGAAAAGCTTGGAGGCTGAAATTTTGGGGTCATATTCCCATCCCATGCATAACCCACTCGTTTTAAAAACTTTATTCATACGCGCCTATATCTTGCATACGGACCCTCGAAAAAAATCGCAGATTTCTTTAGCGGGAAGCGATTTCGTGATCCAGACAAGATAGAGAGCTGAAATTTTGCAGAGATATTCTCTGTGCCTGTACGAGCTGATTTCAGTTGCTATCGCGCACGTCTAAATCACGCGTACGGTCACGTCAAATTTCACAGTTGGCATTGTTCTAACTCGAAAATTAGCCGAAAAAACGTAACTGGAATTTTGTCAGAATATTTATAGTTCATATAGAAAATTGTTTGCCTAAGTTGAGTTTCAACATGTACTTACGCCACTACTTTTGGCACTTCAAACATATTTGTCGCGAAGATACTATTTTGCTTGCCGGATAAGCTGCGACGCTGAAATTTCGCAAAGATATTCTATATTCATGTACGGTCTTAATTCAGTTTGGAAGTGAAATCCCGTGCACGTGGGCATGCAACTACTTAACTCAAAAGCGGGTGCGTTTTGTAGCTTTTAAAATTCTCTTTTGATTTCCTTCAAATTTGCATTTTTTCAATGAACGAGCATTCACCGAAAAAACGACCGGGCTTAATGTAAAAAATTGATAATCACGCACGCCAGAGGTCTGCGCGGCTCTTTGATGCAACACCATCTCAGCCAGCGCTCTTTTCCCCTGCATGCAGAAGGGGGTCAAAACGCAGCTAATATATGTCTAAGTGTTAAACTGCAGTGCAGGAACTATTGATGTTCTCAACATTCTGCACGTTTAACGTAAAAGCGCATGATCGCCCTGGCAAGCCTAGTAGTTGCAGCCTTTTTTTACACTTCCTAGGCCCACTTCCGCTGTATATTAAAATTGTGAAGTATCTGGCTTATGTCACGAAAATCCTCAATGAGATGCCATCCCCACTGTATACTTTTCGTTGTTAATGTACATTCTGTCCAATCCCGTTCGTAAATCACTGTGTGGAAGTATACACATACTTGTTTCAATATATTTGTGGAAAATTCAGTGTTTTTTTTTT